TGACATCCTAGGAAAGATGTGATGTCATAGGGGAGGTGTGATGTCATGGGTAGCATGTGATGTCAGAGAGGAGTGACACATCACTCCCCAGCCTTGCTCCAGCTAAAGCCGTGGAATTTGTCTTTGTTTATCTTGGGTCCAAGGTCAGGCTGTTTTATTTCCAGGGATGTCTAGAGATGAGTTAAGGGGAGCTCAGACCTTTTGGTGAGGAAGGAGTTGTTTACTCTGGAGCATTAGAACTCAGCCTTTGTTCCTGGTTTCTTCCCACTCTTTCAGAGCAGTTCATTTCCCAGGGTGAAAGCTCTGATTCCCCAGCACAGTCAGGTTCTCCTGAGCTCAGGATGTTTCACTGGTCTCATTTTTCTCCAGTATTAATTCTGTGCCAAATTCTGAGCGTGACCGTGCCAAGTGTGCGGGGTCGGCCACGGGAACTTTGCTTTTCCACGCGGAGCGCACGGAGGATGGTTGCCGGGCACACATGGTGTGTTAGGGAGGGTTTGAGATATACTGAAACTTGAAACCATGACACTGCTAAAAGCTTAACAAAACCCAATATTTATTACCAAGAGGTGGCCAACAAAACAAACAAACCTAAAAGAGAGGAAGGAGGAGAGAAAGAAGCCCCCAGCACGATCTCCCCAGTTACCCAGCTGTTGCCCATAAATTTATCTTACCGACCTAGCATACCTGTAATTACCCATAGCAGAAGCTGCATCCTTGGAGAGTCAGTAAGTTCACAAACTGGCAGGCGTCCCCGCCAAAAGGTAACGTTGTCCTTGGTGTGAAGTTAGCTCCCTTCCAAGAAAGCACTATCTGTTTTTATACAATTAATTGAGTGGCCACAACCTCCCAGGTGTGGCCAGCACCGCCCAGCCCGAGGCCCTCAGTCCCACCTCCTGGGTGGATGTCAGTGCATCTCTTCTGTGCACGTGTGAGAACTTTGGAAATCGCCTCACGCACGCGCAGAGTGTTTTGGGGGTCTTTTCTAATTGAGTTGGGGGTGGAGCCTTCCTCCTCTCCTCATCACTTTCTCCTTCAAGCGACCTTGGAGGACAATTGGCCAATCACAGAACACCAATTAAAACAGTTTATACAGAAGTTCTCCCTCCAAGGAGAAATTCACTGTTTTGTCAGTGAACTTGGCAGGGAGAATATAAACTACTGTGGGTGGCTGGGGCCAAACACAGACCAAAAATATCAGCATAAATTCACCCTGGTACACTCAGTTACCACAGCAACCGTCAATGGACCCCTTCCTAACTGTGTTGCCATGGCAACCAAGGCTAAGACTAGTTGTGATGCTCAGTTGCCATAGAAACCTCCACTAGGGCCTGCTGCTATGGGCTTATGCCATGGAATTCTGGATCCATGCTGTTGCCATGGCAACCATTAGTCACTCCTGGTGCCCAATGCCATGGTACCCGGACACAGAGATGCTTTGCCAGGGACTGTTTCCATGGCAACCAGCACTTGACTGGGCTGTCATGGCAATCGTCATGGAAACCCATTGTCAGGGACTGTTGCCATGGACATTTCCACTTGTTGGCATGGTCAGCTGTCATGGAAACCATTTCAAGTCCCATTGCTAAGGCAGGTTGCCATGCCAACCGTCAGAAGGCCCCATTCCTCTGATGGTTGCCATGACAACTCGCATGAAGACCCAATGCTGCTGTAATTTTCCATGGCAACCATCAAGAAACCTGTTGCCAGGGACCTTCTCATGGACACTTCCATGAGTCATTTTTCATGGCAACCATTCCACAATCATATTGAAAGGTTGGTTGCCATAAAAATCATCATAAGGAACCGTTGTTACAATCGGGGTCCATGGCAACCATCCCGATGTCCCAACCCTGTGGGCCCCCCATGCTGGGGGATGGACTTGGGGGGCTGGTTTGGGCTGGGAGAGGAGTGAATTTTCCTCCCAGGGGTTTCTCGGGGGTTGGGTTTGGATTTGGACTGGGAACAGGGGGGAGAATTCCAGGAAGGTTTGGTTCCTGCCCAGAGCCAAGGCCTTTCCTGCTCCTCATCCTGCCCCACCAGTGAGGGGACTGAGGGGGCACCAGGAGCAGGGAGGGGACACAGCCTGGACAGGTGACCCTGACTGACCCCAGGGGTGTCCCAGACCGTGTGGCCTCACAGTCAGTGTGGGAAGGGGGGGAAGGAGGAAGGGGGGGATCCTGGCAGGAGTCAGCGGTGCCTCAGGATGCCGAGGGGGCCCAGGGCTGGCAAGGGGCTGCCAGGTCACCTCTGTTCCAGCCCTGCCAGGCAGCAGCAGCCTCGGGCACCAAGAGTCAGGGGAGCTGTCTGTGCACAGCCCTGAGAGCTGCCCCAGCTGAGTGTCACTCTCAGGGGCCCCGAGAGGAGGACCCTGGGCAAGTTGGTGCAGTCAAGGCACCATTCTGACCCTGAGCAACCCCAGGGACTCCAGGGACCACTCTGACACTGCCGGGCATTCTGGAGCTGAAGGGATCCACAGACACTCTGCAGCCTCCTGGAATCAAAGGGCTGCTGGGACACGGGGACCAAAAGAACCTGTGACTCAGTGGAGCCTCAGGAAATCCAGGGACCATTGTGACACTGGAGAACCACATGGAAACAAGGGGCCATCCTGATGCTCTGGAACCTCCTGGAACCAAGGGACCATTGTGTCACTACAAGGATTTATGGATCCAAAGGAACACAAGGACACTGTGGAATCTCCTGGAACCAGGGGGCCACTGTGGCATCTGGGGCCTCATGGAACAGAAGGAACCCTGAGACATTTTGGAAGCTCATGGGATGAAAAGGGCCATTGTGACAGTAGAGGGCCTCAGGAATGCTGAATGCTGAATCATTTTGGAACCTCATGGAACCAAGGGGCCATGGTGACACTGCAGGGTCTCATGGAAACAAAGAAACCCTGGGAAACTGCAGAACCTCTGGAATTTAATGGGCCATTGTGACTCAGGACAATCTCCTTGAGTCAAGGAGCCACTAAGACACTGCTGGGCCTCATGGAATCCAAGGGACCCTGGGACAGAGTGGAACCTCCTGAAATCAAGGGCCCCTTGGGATTCTGTGTAACCTGGTGCAATCAAGTGGCACTGGGACACTGCAGGACCCCATGGAACCAAAGGAATGTGGGGACAGTGTGGAATCTCACGGAGCCAAGGGGCCATGGTGACATTGTGGAGTGTCATGGAACCAAAGGGCCACTGTGACTCCCCAGAACTCCATGGAATCAAGCAGACCCGCTGCCTCCCCCCTGCCCCTGTCGGCTCTGCTGCTGCTTGGGCACCCCTGGAGTCAGCGTTTCCTTTGGCAGCACAACTTATCTCAGACAAGAGAGTTTTCCAGTTGGCTTTTCCCCCTCTTTCCCAAGGTTTTCTTTTTTGTTTTTTGTTCCCTGAGGGAAAAGGGGGAAGGGAAGCAGGTGTTGATCCCTGGTTTTATCTGTATACAAAAGGGAGTTGGGGCGGGGGAAACAAAGCGATTTCTCTCTCTATTCTCTCCCTTTTATCCCATTCCCGCCTCCCTCGCCACACCCCGGGCGACTGTTTCACCGCCGCCCCTCCTCGCCCGTCCCGCGGGGCAGCTCTTTGAGCTCCGGGGCGGCGGAGCCTCCCCCGGCGCGGCCCTTTGGTTTTCCTTGGTTTATTCTCCGGAGCTGATTCCGTTCCGAGCTCGCCCCCCCTCTCTGGCGACCCCCGCCAGGGCCCGTCCCGGGGCGGCTCCTTCAGTGCCACGGGCGGCGGGGACCCCTCGGGGCGGCTCCCCCAGGGCCCCGCCCGCCGCCGCCGCTCCCCGGGGCCCTCCCCGCTTCCTGCCGGGATCGGACACCGCCGGCGGCCCCGGCCCTGCCGGGCTCCATCAGCCTCAGCAATTGCTGCCAAGGAGGGGCCGGGGGCTTCCTCTTGGCCTTCGTCTCCCTGGCGCTGGGGCTCGGCTTCTACCTGCGCCAGAAGGTGAGGGGGGTCCCAGGGGGTCGTGTGTCCCCCCCTCCCCTGCTGCCACTCCTGATCCCAGGAAAGCTTCCCAGTTCTCCCCAGTCTCCGTTATTGGGGGGCAGTGGGGAAGGGGTGGTGGCACCCCAAACTGAGTGGGAGGGGAGTGGGACCCAACAAAAGTGGAGGGGGAGGGGCACTGAGGTTTGGGGGATAATGGGAAATGGGTGGGAGAGGTCAGAAGAGTGGGGAAAAGGGAGGGTGGGACCCCCAAACTGAGCATGAGGGGGCTGGGGATTGGGAGATGATGTGGAAGGGGTGGGAGAGGGGGGAAAAAAGTGGGGGTTGGGACCCTCACAGTGATCCTGGGGGGGGTTAGGGATTGAGGGGACCATGGAAAAGTGGGAGGAACAGGGAGAAGGGTGGAAAAGAGAGGGTGGTCTGGAGGGTCCAACAGTCCCATGGGGGTCTTTGGGCACCAGATTTTGGGGAAGGGGGATGGCCTCCCTGAGCTCCCAACTTCCTGTGGGGTGCTGGTGCCTGCTGGATCCAGTCTCAGCCTCGGATTGTGCCAAAACTTTCAGTTTAGAGGAATTACAGAGGTGTGACTGAACTTTTGTCCCTGAAATTTTAATGATGGTAAAACAGACCCATGGATAGAAATGAATTTATTTAGAGTTACAAATGATCAGACAAAAGATCTTCATCGGAATTATTTACTGCACAATAGAACACTAAGAAGGGGGGCCCCTGGTGGTCTCGTGGTTAGGATGCAGTGCTCTCATCACCACGGCCCAGGTTCAATTCCCCATCGGGGAACCCCTCCGGGCAGATGGAGCTCGTCAGCCCTGTAAGGCCATCCATCTAAGAGAAGGTCACTCTAAACAAACCTACGTCCTGAGGACCTTGCTGCCACCATCTGAGCTTCGCTCGGCCCCAGCAGATGAACCTTAGGATTAAAGGGTGGACTCAATTCAGCGCACACTGTGTCTCACCTAAAAAATCCACTGCACAAGCTCAAAGGGTAATGACCTTTCCCAAATCTTTGTTCACGAAGACTGGCCATACATACAGAACACTAAAACTACCAGGAGTACCAGTTCGGGGTGGAAGCAGCGGCCAAAGCTCTTCCCGCAGTCGGGGCACTTGTAAGGCTTTCCTTACCGGTGGGTCCGTTGGTGTCTGGTCAAGTTACAGCTCCAGGTGAAGCTCTTCCCACACTCCCCACACTTGTAGGGCCTCTCACCGGTGTGGATGCGCCGGTGGGTGACGAGGGTGGAGTTGTACTTCAAGCCCTTCCCACAGTCGATGCAGCAGAAGGGCCTCTCATCCGTGTGTGTCATCTCATGTCTGAGGAGACTTGAGCTGGTCCGAAACCTCTTCCCACATTCCAAGCATTTGTACCGCCGTTCCCCAGTGTGGATGAGCTGGTGGGTACGGAGGGTGGAGCTGCAGTTGAAGCTTTTCCCACATTCCCCACATGTGTAGGGGCGTTCCCCGCTGTGGATGAGCTGGTGTCGGATCAGGTTGGAGCTGTCAGTGAAGCTCTTCCCACAACCATTACACACGTAGGGCCGTTTCCCACTGTGGATGCGCTGGTGTCTGAACAGGTGGGAGCTCTGGTTGAAGCTTTTCCCACATTCCCCACATGTGTAGGGCCGTTCCCCAGTGTGGATGTGCTGGTGGTGGATGAAGATGGAGCTCTTCCGGAAGCTCTTCCCACATTCCAAGCACCTGAAGGGCTTCTCCCTGCTGGGAGGCTGCTCAGGGACCACCAGCTCAGAGCTCCTCCTCAAGCTCTGGTCGCCTTCCCGGCACAGGCTGGCTCTTTCCTCCTCAGAGCACCCTGGGATGGCTTTGGAGCCCCTCCTGCGGGGGGATCTCTGGCCCTTTTCCTCCCCGCTGCCTTCCTGCGCCGGGGAGCCCTTCAAAACGGCCTCTCCCACCAGGGTCTCACGGGGGGATTTGTCCTCCGGGCTCTCCGTCCTCACCTCGGGGCCTGGGGCAGGAAGCAAGAAGGACAGGCAGGGGATTTGCCTCCGGCCCACAGGGAAGGCCAAGGACATCCCCCCAACTCCGGCCCCGGCAGGACGGCGGCGCCAGCGGGGTTGTCCTGCAGCCGGGGCCATGCTCGGCTGACAGAGCCAGCACAACACCCACCCAAAGGGACACTGACTTCCTCCTCACCTGCCTGGGGGGACCAAGGCATCTTCCTCTTCCTCGCAGCCTCCTCCTCCATCCGCCCAAGCTTTGGGAAGGACAAATCCTGATGGGGGGGAAAACAAGGGCTGAGCGCGTTGGCTTGGGGGTTCCTCCTGCCCAAGTCCATCTCTAGAAGTCACCGGGCATCCTGTGACCATAAAAACCTCCAAAACACCAAGATTCAGCCCAGAAATCCCAAACCAACATGATTCAGGTAAAAAACCTCTTAGAAATAGCGAGCTGAACCTCCTCACAAACTACAAAAAGTTAAATTTAAGCAAAAAAATACACAAAATATGAAGATTCAACCCAAAAAAAGGTGTTTAATTGGCAGGATGAGGAGAGTGAGGTCACTTCATGAGCACTTGATTGAGTTGCAATATATTAATCAAAAGCTGTATTAATGTAGTATCACTTAAAACTCGCCAGGGCTGTTCCTCGAGGTTCTCTGGCCCCCTGCCAGCCCAGGGCTGTTTCTCCAAACCACCAAACCACGTGTGCCAAAAGTCCTGGTTGGTCAGTGTCAGCTGGGGGAGCGGGCACTCAGTGAGGGGATGAGAAAACTGCACCCAGGGCTGGGCTGAAAGAGGCTTCAGCACCACTTCTGATGGCCCAGGGGCAGCATCTGGCTTCTCCCAAACAGAGAGAGGGCACTTGTTCCTCTGCAGGGAGTCAAGGGCAGGAGGGTGACTCCTGCTGCATGGATGGAATGGCAGAGGATCCCTTGGGTCCCCAGGATGGATCAGCACTCGGGGATACAAACAGCCCTCGGGCTCAGGATGCAGCTGCCAGCACAGATTTCCCTGCAAAGTCTGTAGCGAGTCAAGCTCTGGAGAGCAGGTGTGCAGGGACCTAAGGGGATTATGGACAGGGGCCCAGCAGGGACAGCCAGGGCCTGCAGGGGAAGGCACAGGGACAACCTGGCCCCCCACACTGCCAGGGCTGTCTCTGCTCCTCCTTGCAGGCTCCGTGGCCAGGCACAGTTTGTGTTCCTGGGTGCCCACCATCTCAGCACTTGGAGACGCTCAAATCAGCGCCCGCAGCTCTGCAGCAAAGCCCCAGCTCACCTGGCACACAGGGGATGGACACAGCACCTGCTCGGGGATGGGCAGTCACAGCTTCTTGTCTTCCCCACCACAGGGCTCTCCTTCCTCAGCAGCACCTCTGCCTTGCACTTATTCTCAGCCTCACCTCAGGGACAGCTCTGGGCTCACCTCCCGCCACTTCTCAGCCTCACCTCAGGGCCTGGGCTCAAGGACAGGAACCTGCAGGGAGGGGACATCAGGTGCAAGCTGAGGGCTGCCTGCTTGCACTGCCCTCTGGGCTTCTTTCTCCTTCTACAACCAGCCCAGAACTCAGCCTGCTTTGCTAACACCACACATTTACAGACTAACCTTGGAGATAGATATGGACAGACATCTCGATCACCCTGGGGATGGAGCCTCAAGCATGTGCTGCCATAGGAATGGCAATCACAGAATCACAGAATCAGCCACGTTGGAAAAGATCTCCAAGATCATCAAGTCCAACCCTGGATCCAACCCCGCCGTGCTTCCCAGACCATGGCACTGAGGCCACATCCACTCTCACCTTCAACACCTCCAGGGACGCTGACTCCACCCCCTCCCTGCCCACCCCATTCCAAGGCCTGATTACTCTCTCTGTACAAAATTGCTTCCCAATATCCAACCTAAACCTCCCCTGGCACAGCTCAAGACCCAGCCCTCTTGTCCTACTGCTGCTTCCTGCCAGAACAGCCCCACCCCCACCTGGCTCCAACCTCCTGGCAGGGACTTGCAGACAGTCAGGAGGTCTCCCCTGAGCCTCCTCTTCTCCAGCCTCAACACCCCCAGCTCCCTCAGCCTCTCCTCACACCATCTGTGCTCCAGAGCCCTCCTGCCTTCCAGCACATCAACACACCCCCAGCTTGGGGTCACCTGCACATTTGCTGATGAAATGCCTGGTTCTGCAGGAGCTGCAGATGCTCAAGGGGCAGCAGGACCAAGTCAGGGGCCTGGGGGGCTTTGGGGTGCGGGAGGGTCCTGGGGGAGCTGGGGAGGGGCTTTGGGGATTGGAGGCACAGACCAGGACAGACCAGGACAGACCAGGACAGACCAGTACCTTCTCACTGCTCTCCAGATCTCTCCTGGAGCTGGGCCACGTTGTCCTGGGACACCTGAGCCCCCCCAGTGCCCTCCCAGTACAGCCCAGTGCCTCCAGTACAGCCCACTGTGTTCCTGTCCCAGGGTGCCGGGTGATCCCTCTTTGGGGGGTTGGAAGGGATTTGAGGGGGGGGCTGGAAGAGATTTAGGGGGATCTGGGAGGGGGGAGTTGGATAGGAATTTGGGGGGTTTTGGGGTGCTTTGGGTGTATTTAGGGGAGTTAAAAGGGGGCTTGGGAGGTCAAAGGGATCTGTAGGGGGAGGGGATTAAAAGGAAAATGGGGGTTGGGAGACATTTGGGGTGGTTAATGATGTCTAGGGGGAAAGAGGAGGAGCAGCACCAAGAGCAGGTGAGTCCTGAGACCCTCCTGGGGTTCCCAAGACCTTCTTGGTGTCCCTAATTCCCCCCTTAACACCCTGAGACCCCCCTGGTGTCTCCAATGTCCCCAGGGCCTCTCCATGGCCATAATTCCCCCAATTCCACTGTCCCCATACCCCACCCCACTGTCCCCAAACCCCAACCCTGATGTCCCCAACCTTCCATCTCACCCCAGGAGCCCCCCCTGGACCCTCTGACACCAAAAACATTGCTCCCAACCATGCTCACAGAAAGGCCAAGGGCATCTGGGGACATGTTGGGGATAACTGGGGGGCTTTGGGGGGCACTGGGTGATTCCTGGGGGATACTGGGATACACGGGGAGGAACCAGGGGGCACTGGGGGGGAACTGGGGCACACTGGGGGTCACTGGCAGAGAACTGGGAAGTTACTGGGGGATACCAGGACACACGGGGGGGGACACTGGGAGGTTACTGAGCCATACTGGGAGTTACTGGGTGCTCACTGGGATACATTGAGTGGTCACTGGGGGGTTACTGGGCTATACTGAGGATCACTGGGAGGTTATTGGGATATACTGGGGGCACTGGGATCCCCTTACCCGGATGTAGTATATCTACACCCACCGATTTTGGGGAGCATCCCTAGGACCCCTCCCCTGGGGGCTGGGGGACCCCCCGAACCCACTGCTGGGCTTTAGGGGACTCCAAAAAATCCCCTCAAAACTCCTGAAATCCTCTCAGAAATCCACCCCAGGACCCATCGAAACCTCCTCAAGGACCCCCCAACTCCACTAAGAGACCTCATCCCCCTCCCCCCGGACTTTCTAAAGCCTCTCTGTGACCCGCAAAACACACCTGGGACCCCCCCAAGCCCATTCAGGGATCCCCCCAGTCCCTCTAAGGGAGCCTCAAAGCCATCTGGAACCACCTAGAGACCACAAAAACTGCTGCAAACCCACCCAGGATCCCCAAACCCCCTCAGAGATCCCTCAAGCCCACCTGTGACCCCCCAGTCTCCTCAGAAACCCAAACTCCCTCAGGGACTCCCAAACCCCTTCAGGGACCGTCAACCTCCCCCCCCCCGAGTCCCCTCAGGACACCGAACCCCCTCAGGGACCCCTCAAAATCTCCTCGGGAACCCCTGAACTCCTCTGCTAAGCCCTCCCGAGCCCTCCAGCCTTTCCACCCCCAGCCGCGCTCCCCGCAGCCCCCGAGGGGATCCCCAGACCCCGCTCCCCCCGCAGACCCCCCCAGCTCACACACCCAAGCGCAGCTTTTCCCGGGGCCGCCGCCCCCGAATCCTCCAGAGAGGGGGGGCGAGCTCGGAACGGAATCAGCTCCGGAGAATAAACCAAGGAAAACCAAAGGGCCGCGCCGGGGGAGTCTCCGCCGCCCCGGAGCTCAAAGAGCTGCCCCGCGGGACGGGCGAGGAGGGGCGGCGGTGAAACAGTCGCCCGGGGTGTGGCGAGGGAGGCGGGAATGGGATAAAAGAGAGAGAATAGAGAGAGAAATCGCTTTCTTTCCCCCCTCCCTCCCCACCCCACCTCCCTTTTGTATACAGATAAAAGCAGGGATCCACATGTGCTTCTATTCCCCCTTTTCCCCTCAGGGGAACAAAAAACAAAAAAGAAAACCTTGGGAAAGAGGGGGAAAAGCCAACTCTGCAAAACTATCTCGTCTTAGATAAGGTGTGCTGCCAAAGGAAATGCTGACTCCAGAGGTGCCCCAGCCCTGCAGAGCCCCCACCCTGCCCACTCACACCCTTCAGCTCAACACTGGGGTTTTCCCCTCCCTGGCACTGCCCAGTCCAGCCCCTCCCTGGTCCCCCCATCTCCCTGCCCCTGCCCCAGCCCAGCAGAGCAGCACACTCAGGGCTGGCCCTGCAGCAGGACATGGAGGCCATGGAGCTCAGGGACAGGCCCTCTGGGTCTGCAATGCTCAGCACATCATCAGCTCAGGCAGCTCCTGCAGCCCCAGGGCCAGCCCCGCTCCCCAGCCCAGCAGCAGAGAATCGGCCCCGGGCTCCTCAGGCCCCATTTGCCATCTCCAGGGG